TCTCAGTAAAGTTAATACTTTTTTTTTTTCCTCTTTTTAAAGAAAAGCAAATTAGGAATTCAGCTCTTCAGAAAACACATTTTTAGCGAGGTCAGAATGTTTATAAGCCTCCAAAAAGCCACCGGATATTTCAGTCTCTCTTTAGTCAAAGTTTTCTCAAAAATATTCTTCAAAGCCATGAAAACTTATTTTACAACATCACTTACAACCTTATCTTTTGGAAAAGGTTCTTTTTAAATGCTTCTTGTAAGAGTTTCCATTAGCTTCTAATGCCCTGAAAAGTATCTCTTTGTTGATCAGTTCTGCCCAATTTGTCACACTGAACTCACTGCTTCTTTCTTTCCAGCTCATCTCCTGTCTTCTCTGCCCTTTACAAGCAGACTTTAATTGCTTTGTCCCTTCCACCCTGAGCAAACAAGGCACTAACATTTTAACATGCTGAAGATACTCCTCTCGTGTCTGTTGGCTCTTCTAGAGGAAGCTTCCACAGAGTTGTGTTCATAAGCTGAACGTGCCAGTGAATTTTTTTTCTATTTCTAAACCTCACATAAAATTCTGCTTATTTGCACTTGCAAAGCAGGAAACCCTTTGAGATACATGTGAAATAAATAAAGGTCAATGATGCAGTAAGAGGGTAGTAGACAGAGTGCAGCCCAAACAGTTTTCTCAAGAATCACAAGAACAACAAAGGAAAGAAAGAAGCCACATTTTAAAGACACATCTTAATCCTGAAGGGTGTTACAAAAACTTTGGTATGCTACACTAGACTGGCATATCACTGATGGTTTCTGGACCTAACATCTAAGAATATATGGAGATTTACTTGCTCAAAAAACTATTTCCTCTACTGAAATTCAACATGCTAAAATATATTGCATGTATGTAATTTTGTATTAAAAGTATGCTTAGAAACACAACTACCTTAGACTCACTTTCAATATACTATCAAGTGTATTGACTACTGAATCCAATCAAACTGAAAAATGGGATGTTATGTAGTACATCAGCAGTCGGTAGGATTATTTTGAACAACACACACTTATGTATAATATCAGGCTTAAGATTGAGTTGGATTGATTTCAGAGACTAAAATTAGGCTGGAAAAAAAAATATTATCCCGAAATAAGACTGAAATAAGTTTCCTGATGCTGTAAGCAAACTAAGTTGGCAAAGAATACTGTTCTTTTCTCCCCCCCCCCAAAACTGTGAGAACATGACAAAAAGTAACAAAAGAAACTTTAATTTGGGGGCTTTATTTAATTTCTTTTTTCTTTTCTTTTTTTTTTGATGCTACATAGTCAAACAGGATTGGTCTTTTTATGGCATAGAACTAGTTTACTACTAATATTTTTTTCCCCTAGATAGACTTATTTATATACAAAAACAGTTTCCTGACCACTGTTTCTCCAATGCTCAGATGATCAAAACTCCAACAATTGTGTAGTGCCCAAAACACCAGGAGGCAGAAGAATCTCGCATCACTACAGCAGCAAATTTTTAGTTCTAGTCACTGGCTTTAAAACAGGTGCCTTTTTATACCATATAGTATTAGTCAATTTTGTGACAATAAGGAAACATGAGATGAAATACATTAAATAAGTTAAATATGCATTAAACATCTCTGAATAACATTTTAATTCAACTAAATGAACCAACAGCAATGTAGCTTGGTCCCTTTATGAGAAGGCGGCATTGACCTTTATTCCAAATGAGCGTCATACCAGTCAATATATGCCTCTTAATGATGCCTAGCACATTCAGCATTGCCACATACAATTCTTTTCAGCTTCTCACTATTCATTTAAGTGCCAAGAAATTGGTAACTTTGCACAGAGTTGAAGACACTGACAGAAACTGTTAAATTTATGAGCAGAATGGTGGATTAACATATTTTACAGAAGTTATCAACACCTCCTGCCTAACCCAGCTCCAAACATCCAATAGGGCCAGCTCCAGCAGTGGAGGAATAGGCTTTTTTTCTATTTTTCTTTTTTTAAAAAGAGGTAATCCAGCAACATGTACCAGGGTCTAAGAATGTTTAAAATGACATATACAATATTCCATTGTAGTGTTAAATCATGATTTTTTTCCCCCTGTTCATCACTGAAGAATATTCTCTTTCATTTACTCATTGTACATTTTAAACTTTCTAGATTATGTTACATAATATTTGTGCAGGGGTAATTTAAAGGCAAGACCTGTGAGATGTCATACATTAATTTTTTTTTTAAACATTGTTATGAATAAATTTAATCCAATGATATGGCAGAACCATCAAACCAATTTACAATTCCCAGCATGCTGCCTCTACAAGGCTATTTTTCCTATAATTACACCGAAGATAAAGAACAAAACCACCAAAGCAAGTAGTCTAGAGCTGAGCCCTTCCTCCTTGACAGCGGCTGCAGAAGCAGATATTGGATTGTTTGTCTGGGGTGCCTTCCTCATCCGAAGTCCATCTTCTTCCTAAAGGAAGGGATGTGGATTATTTATTCTGAAAAAAAGCATTAGTATTTACCCAGACAAGTGTGCATAATGAAATAGGGGAATGCTTAGGTAACGCTAACTTACAGCTCTATTTCCTAGCTGAGCAGGAGAGGGTAGTAAGGTAGGAGAGGAGCTTTGCATCTACTTGACTGGCAAGAAGTAAACCACATGCTCTAGAAGTTTTCTCTTCCTGACTAAGGTAACAGGGGAAGTGATGAGGAAGCCTGCAAGAACACATGTCCAAAGTCTGCAGGAAGCTCCAGATCATCAAAAATAACAAAGAAGGGAATGGCATGAAAATGTTGGTCTTGTTCTGTATGTGAATATACTGCTGTCAGAGAAAAAACTTTTCAATGTAGCTCATTGAGACAGGTTGCAAAAATGTACACTTGTAAGGGAATTGTACTCGTTATTCCCCCAGTGAGTTGGGGTTTTCACAAGCACGTTTCCCCAGCATTTAAAGGGCTATCTATTTTCCCCACCATATGCATACTGACATTTTGACGTTCTCTCAACACTAATGGTAACTATTAGGACTTTCCTTTGGTATAATTTTAAAAGATCTCTTGATTTAAAGATGTATGAGACAACAGATAAAGCAACATCATAACACCGGCTATTATCATTTTAAGAGGAGCTAATGTTCCCTACTTCTTGATCTAAGCTGTTGTGCAGCGCAGCTGTATGTTAACACACTCCATTCCACACCACAGACAGAACTCTAGGGGTCAGTAAAATGAGCCTTTTGTCACCTAACTTGTATACAGCTGATGCAAGTGTTAGGCTTTACTACATGACACCGTATTAGAGTGTGAAAGTGTAAAATACTGAAGTAACGTCCTCCAGTTTAAACAAAAAAAGTCAAAAAATTTTAATAAATGTTAATGCAGCCTTTAAAATTGATGGATAAGAGAAATTCAAAAGAATCAATCTATGTCTGTGTTGCGCACTTTGAATACAAAGGAGCACCTAACTTTTTGGAGGAGAATATTAAGAGTCACAGACTACCTGGTATCTCACTACTGCTAGTAACCTGCATAGGGAGGAACAGCTCACAGTTTATTATTTTAAGTCAACTCAATTCTAGATATCTCCTGAAGCCTACTTACTCAAGACTGCTTTGAAGAAAAGAAAAAAAATTATTACTAAACATTTATAGTATTTTGAGCCACTGCCAAAACAACAGCACAAGCAGAAGTTAAGCTTGCATCTCAGCTATACACACATATTATTTCTATGTGCAAAAACACAATTGGTTTAGAAGTGTTTAAAGAATTTCTTCATGCTTCAGCCAGACAAGCAACATCACAGCTGATAGAACATAGAGTTTCTTTCATTGGACCAGAGCAGTCAAGAATTCTAAGTTTTCAGTGGTGCTATTATCTATCACATTAGACTTTAGTAACAAATGAAAATACTGTTAAAAGAGTATTTCAGCATGGTGATTAAAGCTTCTCATTTACTTGGTTTCATAGTAATACGCTGGATACGGCAGAGAGCAGATTTCCTATTGACCAGCGTTACTTTGGTCACTTCAACTGCATATTGTAGGTGCAATTATTCAACTACTCAGTACTGGCACAACACTGCCCTCAAGCTCCCATCAGCTTAAGAGAACAGGGTCAAAGCCAACACCAAATGCTTAATTCCAACTGAGAAAATGAGGTGGGAAAATAAGAGAATTCACCACTTTGGGTTGCTATCCAATCAGTTTCTCTGACTGAGTTTTATGCTGCTTTCAAAGGAAGCACTGATTTCAGCATTTTTTCCCTGAGCTTACAGAAAGAAACCTAAGTTCTCTTTTGATTTATAGACAATATTAAACTATTGTACCATCGTCAGGTAACCAAACCTTTCAGTCTCAAGCATCTTTTCAGGAAAGTAGTATATCTGGGGAAAAAAAAACAAAACTTTACCTTAAACTGTTTATTCTCCTCCCGTAACCTCTGAACTTCTACTTGAAGCCTCTTATACTCTTCCATTACTTTCTTAACTTCAATGTCATCCAAAGAGGAACTTATTGATTTAGACATTACAGAAGAATCTGTCTTTGTTGCAGTTGTGGATACAATTTTATTTATTTCTATATCATGCTGTTAAAAAAAGGATAGAGTGATCTTTGGTTAGTTATTAACACCACACCACACACCTGATATTCAGGAGGAGAATCAGGTAAAATTGTCTGTGCACACCTGAAACGTGCCTGTATCGAAAAGAAATGAACACCATTTTTCTTTCTGCAACCTTTACTTCCCCCCTCCTGTTTCAAAGAAACCACCAGATCAGCGGCAGTAAGTCCAGACAGAATGACCCCTAGTTTCAAGCCTCTGCATATTGAAAAGGAAACATCCTTAGGACATCACTCACAACGAGAATGGGGTCTTGAGTCCCATTTGTTCTCTTTGTTTTGTGGCCCCAAACCTTCAGTGCCTCCTTACAGAGGAGCAAGACTCTCCTCACTTCTCCCTCCCCAAAGCACAATGCAAGTAGCTACTCCAAGAACAAGCGTATTGCTAGCAACCACCCAACAGCTCTGCTGCAGTTCGCTCACTCTTTGCTTCCCACAGCTGGACAGCACCTCTTCCTCTTTCTGTGCTTCTGCAGTGAAAGCAGAACTTTCAGTCCAAGTTAGGGAATAAAAGCTACAGAGCTCCAAAACTTCTTTCCTTTCCTGCCTTGGGATTCCCTGTATGTTCTGTACTACAAAATGAAAAGGGACTAACTCTAATTGAAGAAAAACAAACCACTCTTCCTCCAACAAAAATACCACCAAAGTATCAACCAGAAGGTTTTATCGATAAAGTAATAATCTTGTTACTACTTGTGCTTTTGCTTTGCCGTAATGAATTTTAGGATTTATAGAAAAATTTCTCCTAAACAGAGTAGCTGTTCAGTTAAATTTCACGTAATTCAGATTCTTTCCTTCCTCTTGTCACACCTCTGAAGTGGCACATGGAAAGTACGCTAACACAGAAGCACCTACTTCTGTGGCAAATGTTCACTGTTTGGAGCAGGAAGATGAGACATGGTGAGCCTACAATTGTGCCATTTTACCAATGCATAACTAATTACAAGCTGCTGAGTGCAAGGTAGAACACTCGTGCCTTCAGTACCCACCCAGCAGGAAACATTTCTAGGTTTGTTCCATCCAGGAGCAGTTCTACATTTGATACTACATACTTCCATTAGGAATTAATCAGTGTCTTCGTGGCCCTAACAAGGATCCTACACTATTGTAATTGCTAATTGCAATATAACCCCTGGCTGCATTTGTGTCTTCCCTACTAGTTTTCCAACTCTTTGCCTGCTGAAATCAGTGTCGTAAACTGAGAACTTTTAGAAACCCCAGTCAGCATCTTTCAAAACACATATTTTAATATTCTTTATCCTACACGATCTTTCACTCAGGCAACAAAGATCAACTTCAAGAATTTCTGCAATCATTACACTTGCATTGTCCATCCTAGCTGCCGGTTATAGTAAGCATCACTAAGATTTTAAATAGTTTTATGTTTTCAAAGGGTGATGTCACCCAGGATAGTGAAACAAAGGGTTCCGTCTTTTGCTTATATAGCTTTTTGCTGCCTGTATAAACATGCCATTCTACATAATTAGCTGTGGTATTAAGTTAAATCACTCAAAACACAGTTGAAAATACTCACAGGCTTATCATTTTCCGCTGGTAGCTCAAACACACACCTAAGTTTCGAATCCATGAGTTCCTCTGGTTTTGCTTCTTTCCACTTGAAAAATTAAATATTAAACAATGATATAATAAGACACATGGAAAACTCACTGTAATATGTAAACGAATCACACCACCTTACTCAAGAAAAACTCCACAGGTGTTTATCATGTTACTGATAAAAACATACATGATCAAAAATGAGAAACAAGTACATCACCCTGAGTTATATCTTAAAGAAAGATCAGAAACTACAGAGTATATCATTCTAAGTAGTTTGAAACCTGCCGTTAATTCATATGAGAACTCAGAACTGTGTTAGAGTGATTAGCACACATAGGGGGAGCTATGGTCCGGATCAAAAAAAGAAAAGATAGGAGGAGGAGGGCATTCAAAAAACCCACATCGGTAAACCAACTCTACAACGCTAAGTTTTTAAATCTTTGTTCAGCTGGAGTACCTATTCAAACTTCTCACATTTCGAATGAGGCATTCAAGTTTTCTCCTCACTGGTACAGATTACAGGACTGTTCCTCTCCTTCATTTTGCACTGGCCAGGGAGATTCCTGGTACTTGCAAGGACATACACGATTCATGGGCTAGGTTTTACTTTTGCAGCATCAGCTTCTAAACAATGACAGATGTATTGCACATAAAGAGATAACTTCCTCCTCTCTTCCTTCTCTTCCCTTCAGTTAGGGAGTCTGCCATAATAAAGTTTCTCTTCCAATATTTATAGTAGGGATTCACAGTTATAAATCCTTGCCTGGTATCAGCTGTAACCCTGAACTGAAATGGTTGGGTCACAGCAGTGATATACAGTTAGAAGAGTCCACATTTATGGAGAACACATTTCTGTCTCTGTTTTAAGAGAACACATTTATGTTCCTGGGGTTTTCATATGCTTCTCTTCACTTGGACTCTACTTTGGTTACCAAGGTACTGGTACTGCTCAGCGTATCTCAAGAAGGTGTCAAGTTATGGCTAACCTCAGTGCAACCTGAAGAATTTGACTCATCCTAAACAGCTGAAGAGTACTCCAGCTCCTCTGCGGCTGAAGTCAGAACTCTATTTTGAGCTTGCTGGCTGGCTGTCTGGCGCGTTGAAAGCTTTATAGTACTCCACTAATTTGTCTCACCTGTTTATCCAGAATAGGAGGGTATTTGGAGAGTCGTAACAAAACTAAAAACTGATCAAGCGTTATGGGGAAAAAAATCATAGTAGTCTGGAGAGCTCTGAAAAACTGAAAGGACCATTTAGGTCCAAAAAACATTCATTGCTAGCAGAACATTTCTCATGGTTTAAGTAATTCATAAAAATTAAAGTTAGAAAGAGAGGCAGACTGGCTAATCTTTCTACCAATGCAGAAATTTTATCAGCATTGGCGTTTCTCCCATCCAGTCTTATTCTGAGCTATATTAAACAAATATAGTTCCATAAATCTCTTTGAAAAAGGAGAATTCTTTGTCAACTAACTCTACAGAGTGCCTAAGCTTTAAAGGGTATAACCCTGTTCAAGTGGGATGCAGTTCTCAGAGAAATACAGGTCAACTGTAGACTTTTCTACTATATCTAATAAAATATATTAACTCACAAGCATGCTCCAGAAGCTGAATCCTAAACATCTTTATTAAAAAAAAAAAAAAATTATGCTTGAACTACTGTGCAACTTCTATTCTGGAGAGTGACCTGCATTTTCATATTACCTCCCACCTTTAAAAGCATGGGAAAAAGGCGTTAGTTCTTCATGAAGCACAGCAAATGAAGGTCAAAAATGAAGCCAACCATAATAATAATAAAATCCTATGACAATCATCATCATCATGCATCTATTCAAAGAGAATAGAAAAAGTTTAATTTGTTCAAAAAACCTTTGATGTTTTACTATGCCATGAAATCAAATAGGCAATGAAGAGTAAACCTTTCAGGCTTTCTCCTCTTTAAAAAAGAGGCTCAGCAGTGGCAGCATTTACAAGATGCTGCAATCCTAAACAAATTAGTCTAAATGTACTGTAGAATTACATAGGTTTCCCTAGTTGACTTTACATGAAAAGTCTTCTCAAATTTTGAAGAGTTGTTCAGAAGAACATGCATTGAAAAAGCTTACTGTAAAAAACCCATAGCATGTATTCTGAGCTTTTTTTCTGTTTATATGCATACATACAAACACACATACAGACCCACAATTCAGAGAGCAAAGGACTTTTTATTGTGTCCTCAACAGCTACTGAGTACTCTCTCAAATTAATAAAAGCTAGATCAGAGAAAGCTTTCTCATGCCTTCTTGTAGTAGCAAAAGTCTTGCTGTTACAGGAAAGCCCCCAGTTGACACATTGCTGCATTCCTTTCCAAGTCATCTTAAAGTAGCCAGACATCTTATTTCTACATCTTTTGTCCTTTGCCTCCGCACCTATCTGCTTCTGTTACTCTCATTTGTAATCCACAGGACAAGATTTATGAGGGCAGTTTATTTATCTAATCCACAACACACCTAGGCAGGGATAAAGAAAAATATAATACTTGCAAGGCATCCAGGTTCCCACTGGGAAAAGGAAACTGCTCAAGGGAAGACCCAAGACTGAGGAAACAGAAGCATAAAAATCTAAAAGATGCCACAGATCAGATCCTTAGAATATATAGTGCAAGTTTGCCTTTTTACAAAATTTGTATTTTTGTTTAAAATATGTGTATGTATGTATACACACACACATACATACAAGTACTTAATATTTGTTTCATGGCCTAGTATCCCACTACTGGCAGTCCTAAGGAAACAGCCACAGATATCAACTAAGTTTTCTGTGCTGTGTCTTTTAGCACAAGAATAATGGGGCTAGACATAAAAAGAAAACACCTTGCTCATGCACAGAGATATAAATCTGATAAAGCTTTCAAGGAAAATTCCAGTGTGGTTCAACAACAGCAGATAAGCAATGCAGTAAAAGGTCTTATAAAATTCACACAATCAGAAAGAAATCTGTTTTAATTAATTTTAATACTTACTACTGCTTCCATATCTGAAGTATCAGCTGGAGCAAACATAGACTGAACCATAAACTTGTGTTTACTTTTCTCATTAGGATCATAGTCAAAAGGCTGTAGCATCACTGCAAGAAAAACAAGAAAAACCCCAACCCCCTTATGTTAGCATTGCTCTGACGCATTGTCATGCTCTGATGACATAGTTACCAGATCTGAGAAATACAGACAATGAAATGATTTCAAGTCGTATAGCCCTAAGACAAAAACAACAGCTGGGACGAGGAACTCCACTTAAAAAAAGACTTCAAAGAAATCTAAGATAGACTTCTTCAGCCTGTCTGCATTTTTGAGAACTGTGGAAATGCCGACCACTGTACAATATTCTGTATACAACTATGGCAAGATAATAATAGCAGTTTATACTCATCTTTAAATTCATCAGCATATTTTACGTATCTTCTGGGACAGAAGAAAAACTCTCAAAGAAAATATCATGCTTTTCCCCCCATCCTTAGGAAGAAGCAGTAAGTGGGCATTTTAATTACTTGTACACAGTATCGCTGATGGTTCCCGAGAAGAACTACAGAGGCAGGCAAAGTCAAACACTTTACACCTCAAGGTTCAAGTCTCAGGATGGAAATTTCCTCTACAAAGTTCAAGAGCCTCATGATATTTGTTTTATCAAGTACAACTATTTCTCTTCCAAAAATAAGTTGTGGAAAGTTTGCTACCAAGTTTATGGAAGTTTATGGTTAAACGCTTTACAAACTTTGCCTCTGAAAGGTATAAAAGAAATTTATTTCTATCCAGAAATCATAATCATGCTGAAATTTATTTAAGCAGAAAAGGAGTGTGTTCAGGGGTGGAGAAAGGAAAGGTTTATTTGGGTGGAGAGGGATTGCTTTTTTTTTTTTTTTAAATAAATATTAGGAATTCCTAAGGCTTTCGTTTCTTGGGAAAGAATTAATCTATTAAAGTAACTTTAGGACAGAGAGTTGTGTATTTCATTTACCAGGAATATTCTTCATTCTTTAATCACAGTGGTCCTTTAGAACCTCTACATTTTTGCAAATTATACTTGTATATTCAACTACTGTGCAATTCACACAATGTGTTTTGCTTGAAGCTTACATAGTACACAATGTAAAAACATGGAAAGTCAAATAAATGAACACGTCACTACATGTTGCAAAAAGTTAAGAATAACCCAAAATTTAAAAATGCATATTCCGTAACATAAAAGAACTGGGATTACTTGCATGTACTAGTACTACTAACATTACGTGCCCAAATTTATCTGCACTAATTGCAGGGGTTGGTAATATAAAAGCGATATGCAATGATCCCATTTATTATAAATGAAGAAAAGCCAAATCAATCCACCTCCTTCAATAAGCAGAATATGTTACAGCTGTGCCATCTTTATTATGCACACAATCTGTGTCCATCCACAACCACATGCCTTTTAAAGCTGGCAGAACAGGAAGACAGCAAATTGTCTCAAATCAGGTGCTTTAAAAATGAGTATAAATTTTAAACACCTTGCAGCAATCAAATACTAGTCCAAAATAAGTGTTTGCAACCTAACTGATTACTTTTAAAACCATTGTTCCAAACAGAATTGGGCAATACAGCACCGAATAGCCACAGAATATTTTTTTCCCCAACAGTAGACAAATGGCTGTCATTTCAAGCCTACATAATGTGTCAGAACTAACTGGAAAGTCAAAACCATCCAATGTTTATGGAACCTCTCCAGATCTGCAGTTTTATCAACTTGCTTTGCCCAGTGTGACCATAAGCTCATCTGAAAATCATTATTTCCCAAGTGATAGTGCTGAAGCCATTCCTGAACGCCAAATGATCGCTGCTCAGAATTCCATTCACTGAATCTGAACAGCAGGCAGCTACAGAGGGCTTGACAGTAGAAATGTTAGTACTTTGTATTTTTAGATCAATACATGAAAGCCACATTGACACAAATTATTCAGCAAATGTTCTGCATGCCAGATTGGAAGCTCAAAAATACCTACTTTGTTCAGGAGGAAACCAAACCATTTCAATATTTATCCACAGACTACTGGGGCTTTCTGGGAAAGATCAGTCCCATATAAATGCCCTAACTGCTAGACAATTTGCTACTGTGGAACGTGGGTCTTTTGTTTTGACTTGAAATTCCGTCCCTTACATGAAAACTACATGAAAAGCACATGCCTCTACAAAATGCTTTATAAAATCAGTCATCTGGTCAAAAAAATGTGACTAGCTTTCATCAGAACTTTTTGTTCTAAGAAATAAACATTAACCTGAGTTTCAAAGTTTACCATTGCCAAGATCTTTTGGAAGGTGGTTGAAATACGTATTGTCTTGCCTAAATCGATCCTCTTACAGCTAGAATACATAAAATACTCTACCATAAGCAAAAAACTGCAAAGTCATTGGGAAACCAATGGAATAAGTAGTATTATAGATTATATTTGCTAGGAATACTTTGAGCCCAGTTTTGTCTCAGATTTCAAACATGAAGGACCAATCTTACATATGCCCTGTTCTGAAATGTCTCCAGTTTTCTAACACATTCCTCTTACATCCCTTCGTATATCATGCAGAACCCTCTGTAGATTTTGTGTGTGGGCATGCGTTTGTGGTTGCCACCTATCATCCTCCTCCTTTTTCCTAGTGCAGTTTACTGCCAGAAATCAATACCAACTTCAGAAGCATCACTAAGTTTTCGCTAGAGTAAGCCTCCTCCTTCCTAAAGGAGGGAAGGAAGAAATTTGAAGAAAGCGGCATGGAAGCAGGCAGCCTTCTATTTTTAAAGCCAGCTGGTTCTAGCAGTCCCTTCCAAGAGGAGGAGAAGGAACAAAAAAGTCTCACTGCTCAGACAGCCAGTGACCTTCCTCCAGTTTCCATCTAAATTTATCAATGGCCTGTTTACTTGGTCTTGGACCACTATTGCCCTTACACTTAAATAGCAAAAAAGGGGAAGAGCCGTTTACCTTTAATGCATTCCAAGACATCACTCTCAGCAACTCTTGGCCTTCTGGCAAACTAACCAAGCCAAACGTGGTTGGTCTTCTCTGTGGCCAGCTCCCCATTCACGCTCTTGTTTCAACTTCTCTATGCAAGTTACTCTAATTAAACACCCACAAAATCTTACCAGTGCCCTCAGACAATAGCACTTGCACTTTGTAAGCTCTTCTGTTATTCAGCCTGCGTGCACATCTACGTTTGTCTTTTTCACAGCCACTTTGTGTTAGCATCTCCATCACCCAACGATCACTAAGAACATCCTAATATCCCCCTACCTCTGTTCCACAAGGTTGCAATTACAGTAGAAGCATTTTATTCTCCAGTAACATGATTTTGCAGTTTTTATGATGAAGCTCATCCTGTTTCTTTTACTGTAGCCTTCAAGGACGCCTGGCTCTTGCTGCATGTTATCTTCAGCCTCCCAACTTTACATCATTAAAGGTGTTTTTAGTGTACTCTTCTTGTGCCAGAAATGCTTGTAAAAGCATTAAACAAAATTAATACCAAGAATCACTCTCAAGAAACATAACTAATAGCTTCTTTCCAATACTTCTCAAAAGCTATCCATCCACCACGTCATTGTTTATTCTTTTAAGTAGACCATTCTGTAACCTGTGAACCTATTTGTCTTTTCTAGCTTTATTAATATTTTTTTCCATGTGGAACTGTATGAAATGCTTTATGGTCTGGATAGATCAGATCTACACTTATCTTGCTTTTACAAAAAAAAAAAACCCAACCAGCTACAGGGTAAACCTCAAGACCGGAGTAAATACAGGTCAGCTCCACTGAAGGCAAACAAAGAGCACTCACATCTACAGAAACAGGCAGAAACCACTGCATCACTTCATGTTTGTATAAGCTTACATAGTTCTTTCTGTAGATATTTTAATAATACTAAAAAGCACTTAATCTATGAAGATCCAGACAGACTCTTATAAAGCAAATGACAAAACCATAACAAAGCTCAGCAATCCCTACACAGCCCTTGGAAGGCCCAGGAGGACGGCATACTGCCACGATGTTGCCTTGGGAGAGCTGCAGAGCTGACGCGGGGCTGGAACGTGGGTCTTCAATGCAGGGAGCACCAGGGGACGATCCATGATTGATCGTTATCTTAGTGAAGGGCGGACAGACATTTCAACTGAAGAGAGGAGCTGTAACAGAAGCACCATCTGGAAGGAACTGCAAATTGCCTTTTCACAATCAGGTAAGTTTACCAAAGACTGAAAATATCCTCCGAGGGTATTCTGCAACATCCTAAGAGTAACTTCTGCTTCTCCCTGTTTCAAGAAGGAGCAGGTAGCCTGCTCTATTGAGCAGGACACTGCTCACAGATAACGCCATCTGTACTTCACCTCTCCCCATGTTACACATCTATCTGCAGGCTCATTGGTGTCTGCTGATTTCTTCCACTTTTCCTTTATAATCCACTCATGTATTTTATATAGATTTCAATCTCTGAAAAGCCAAAAAATTCCCCAAATATCTTTGCTCAAATAAGATATGTTAAAAAAGAAAAAACAACAAAAAAATCAGAACGTGTGTACATACCCTTGTTTTCAGAGTACTTCACACCAAACACAATCAAGCCAGATGACAGTGAGCACACACTTCCCGATAGGTATATAAACTCAACAGTTAAAATTACATGCTATCATTTAACAGGTGAAAACATGGGCTACAAACCTGACATCACAGAAAGCAGTGCATGGTGACAGGGCCTTAAACACTGATATTTAGGAACAGCTGTGATGTGGCATTAGAAACCAGTATTAGACGTTCCACTAGAAAACAGAAACCTTTATTCTTCTAGCATTTTACATGTGTTAAATGAGCCATCATAGTAGTATAAAATAAATTAGAGCAATGTACTAATAACTGCTTCTACCTCAGAACAGAATATCTTCTCAAGAACTTACATTAAAATAGCAAATACAGTGCCCACAGGTAGGTGCCATAGGTAGGTGAGAAAAGCATCCAATTACTACCAGTGCAAGGAAGATGCAGGCTGCCCCAAACCAAGCATCAATCAGTAATATTCTGAGACACTAATACGTTCTTCCAGAGCCTCATAACGTTTTACTTTGGCACTGATTTTTTTGGAGAGATGAGGTGTAGTACCAAGCCAGGGCTACCAAGTGGCTGCATTAACACGAATTAACTAGATTCTAATAATTTCTCAGCAGTAGTACTTTCACTAGAGTTAGAAGAATAAAGTCCTTTTTTTTTTTTTTTATGCCTTGCACGCAACTTGAATAACATGATAGAAAATAACCAATTCAGAGGCAAAGAAAAATTTCTATTTATATTTTGCTTTATTAAATCCAAAATAAACCCTCTCTTCTTAAGCAATATTACTCCAAAGCAAAGGTTAAACTTATCTCCTCCCTGCCCTGTGAATCTGAAAACAATTCTGTTCTGTAAAGTAATGAAAGAGGCCCCTTCAATCCTCCCTGTCAATCCTAAAGATCCCTTCTGCTTATCAGAACGAAGGGCAGTGCCCCAAATTTCAAGCCCCAAATCAGGTCCCAAGCATGGCTTAAAGGAGCTACTGGGAATGCAATATATACAGCTCCAGTAAAGAGCAATTCAGCCACAGAAGAAGGCAGCTTCAATTTAGAAGGTTTTAAGAAATGAACAGTTAACAGTTATAACCCCAGAACTCAGTAAGATATCTGCCTATACATTTACATTAATGTATTATTTAAAAAATTAGGTACATGTGTACTGCTTGCATTTCAATATGTAATGTTAATATAAGGACTGCCAGTTTAGGGTAGTTATTTATCATCACTAAATTAATATCAGCATGAAAAATATGTTGAACACAAAAGTGAGCTCTGTGATTAAATATACCAAAGCAACTTTCAAAATCCATGAAACTGTAAATCACTACAAAGGAAGTTATCAAAAAGGGAAATTTTTCAAAGCTATATAGGCAAGAGCAAAGCAGGTTAGGTTAGCACAGCAATCTCTCATAATGGGATACATTAAGTCAAGTCTTGGACTAGATCAATACCTTATCTGGTATATCGCTGGGAAGGGCAG